ATATACGACAGGTCTGGACCACTCGTAAATTTTGTTCGTATCTGAAAAAAATCTTAGAATACAAAAACATTGGTGAATGCCACAAATTCTCATAAATCACTCGTACGCACAACTTAAGAACAAATCTGTGCGTACGAACGGTTCTTGCATGAGGCCCAATGTTCTTATAATTAGCAAATTTTTACTAAATTTTAAATTTAAATGTTACAAAAAGATATTTAAATATTAAATCCTAAATCTAAATATTTAAATCTAAATGTAAAAATTAAAGCTTAAACATTTAGGTATTTTGGAAGAGGAGAAGCTCTCGGTTTACCGATGGGTCTACTTCCTACCCACATCTATTGTCACAAGCTTTGGGTAGTGACCGAAAGAAGGAGATCATTGGTATTGTAACCCCAGATTCTATGAGTATAGGCGCAGCCCTTAAATGCTATCGCTATTGGGTTTATCCCTCGCGCGCATGCACAGCACTGAAAACTTGTAGTCCACACCCACCTGCAGCGTCGGCCCGCCTCGGTCTGCATAAATAGCGCCATGAACCGAGGCTCAACTCCCTAGTAGCTTTTTCTTCAGCTAAGGGAGCCAGTGAGGCCCAGATCTTAACCTATAATACCGCCAAACTGCAGTCATCCTGAATTTGGAGACAGGATGGGGCCACAGACAGGGCTGACAGGTCAAGTCTGACCTAAAGGCTAGGAAGTCTGACTTAAAGGCTCGAATGGTGCTTTTGTCAGTGCGCGCAAAACCAATGCTAAATCCCACTATGGAACAAATGTGCGTGACACGGGTCTACTGTATGTCTGTGCACACCTTTTAGGAAACGTTTTGTCAGTGGATGATTAAAAGCAGTTCTGTCACCGTAGCCCTCATGCCATGAGGAGATGGCTGCGATGTATGTCTGTTATGTGCTGAAAGCCAATTTTCTGTCCGTCAGCAGCTGGAGGAAAGATAAAATGCAGGGCAGTGGGCACAAAACTGGATCCACCCTTTTTTCAACATACCAGCGCTGGAAAGCTGACCATTTAGATGTGTAAGATGCCATAGTAGAGGCAGCTAGCATGCCTTGAATGGTGCGCACCACATCTTCAGGAAGGCCCAGCTTCTCTAAGCGCTCCTGTTCAGTGGCCAGACCCAGAGATGCTGACCGATCAGCGGGAAGTTCCTGATCGCTCCTCCTGCCTGTAGGAGAGCATCTTCCTGCCATGGTACCTGCCACGGGTGGTCCGATAACAGCTGCTGCAAGCTCGGGAACCATGATGCACCTGTGTGCTCTGGAGCCACCAAAATCACTCTCAGCTGTTGCTCCCGAATCCGGTCCAAGAGGAGCGGAATCAGCGGGACTGGAGGGAAGGCAAACAGCTGTTTGTTTGGCCAGGACCTGTGCACGAACACATCCACTCCCAGTGGTGGTTCGTCTTGAGGACTCAAACAACCAGAGTTCACACTGGACGTTTTCCCGTGCAGCGAACAGGTCCACCTCTGTATGCCGAACTTACTCCAGATTTGAAGAATCCGATCCGGATGGAGACTCCAGTCCCCGTCCTGAGGACGCCCCCGGACATTACGTCCGCTCCTCTGTTCAGGACACCGGGTCTGATGGAGCGTAAATGTGTATGTGCCCAACACAGCAGCTGTCTGGCTGGGAACAGCAACTGCGCTAAGCACACACACCCCTGGCGGTTTATGTAAGCAGCTACCACCTTGTTGTCTGTGTGGATCAGAACATGCTGGCCCTGCAGCAGTGGATCAAAGTGTTGAACCACCATCCACACTGTGAGGAGTTCTAAGACATTTATGTGGAGAGACATGTGGGTTGTCCACTGTCCTCCCACCGCTTAGGACAGACACTTCCCTCCCCACCCTGAGAGGGGCGCGTCGCTGAACACAGAAACATGAGATGTCGCTCTGCTCAGAGGGACTCCTTCTAACAGACTGTATGGGTTTCCCCAGTGTTCAGATCCCCTCCCACTGACAGTGAAATTGAGATCATTCGTCGCTTTTGATGCACTGGGTCAAGCAGGAGACGACTGAACCATCTCTGTAGGCGTCTCACATGAAGCAAGCCCAGTGGAGCCACTGCATGTGTTGCTGACATCATGCCCAGCAGGCACAGGATTGTCAGAGCTTTCACCAAGGTGTGCAGTTTGACATGTCCCAGCAGCACTGTCAGAGTGTCTTTTCTCTGCTGTGACAGCTGCGCTCTCATGGTGACTGAGTTTAGCTCCAACCCCAAGTGAACAATCAGCTGGGCTGGAACGATAGAGCTCTTTTCCCAGTTTATGGAAAAACCCAGGTCGAGCAGATAGACATCAGGGGTTCCATTTGAATCTCCGCTGCCTTTTTGGAGCGAGCTAGCAATAGCAGGTCGTCCAAATAAAACAGAATCCTCATTCCTGCTGAGTGGAGTGGCTGCAGGGCTGTTTCCACTCATTTGGAGAAAGTGCGTGGTGCCAGCGAATACCCAAAGGGCAGTCGGTTGTAGTAGTACTGAGCCTTGTGAAATGGAAAATGCAGGAAATTCCTGTGCTTGGGAATTATGGGAATGTGGAAGTATGCGTCCTTCAGATCTAAGGAGGTGAACCAGTCGTCCTGGTGAACACATTCCAGCAGTTGCCTGATTGTCAACATGTGAAACGGTCTCTCCATAATGGACATGTTGAAGAGGGACAGATCCAAGATGGGTCTCATCACTCCCGTTTTCTTTGGGACCAGGAAATATCGTGAGTAAAACCAAGACTTTCCCTCCCCGACAGGGACCTTGGAGATGACGTCCTTCGACAGTAGGTCCCGTAGTTCGGCTTGAAGAGCTAGATCCTGCTGTGGGAATGACAAGGTTGTCTCCAGGATTTTGTTGAACCTCGGGGGTGCTGCTGCGAACTGCAGCGAATACCCTCGACTGATCAAGCGGTCCATCCATTTGTTCATGGAACAACGCTGGCGCCACGCTGCGCAACGTCCAAGAGCGGGCGAGCAGACATCTCCTGTGACGTAGTTAACCCGTATGGGGGAAATAGTGGAGCCCCTACCGCCGTCACTCAGGGGAAAAAATGAGTGACCCATGGGGGGCTCCGAGTGAAAGGGCTGACCGCTCTCATCAGCTGCGTCCCCCTGACCAGATTCACTGTCTGAACTGGCCAATTGGAACTGGAAGTTGCATTAAAACTCTGTGTTGTGTTTCCTTTGTTTTACGCATGTGATAGGCAGGAGAAGAACGTGAGGAACCCGTGTTCACACACCCAACACTGCGTGCTGGTGTGGGCTCATGAGTGGGAAGAAACACAGAAAGCAAGATTGGTTCAGTGAATGAGAGCTTGTAGTGTTTAAACTTTACCACCCCCCACCGGGGCCCCCCTCTGGAGCCAGGCCTGGAGGTGGGGCACAATGGCAAGCGCCTGGTGGCCGGGCTTTTACCCACGGAGCCCGGCCGGGCTCAGCCCGAAGAGGAGACGTGGGTCCCCCTTCCAACGGNTTTGTTTGTTTGTTGCAGTGCTGTTTATAAGTGCTTGTGTGACCATGGGCGGCAAGTTTGTCCAAAACCTCCCAGGATATATGCTCGGCTTCATCTCCTTCACCTCTCTCCAGAAGTTCTGCCTTTCCCAAGGTTTGCACATGTAACACCTTTCCTCTGTCCATCAATCCCAGAGCTAATCCAGGGGCAGCATTCTGCTGACCTCAAAATCATACGCCTGCTGTACTCTCTTCTACCCAGAACCATCAGAGAGGAGGTACAAACTGCACAGCTGAGTGTGGTTCTGTCTGGTTCTGTGTGGTTGGAACCTGGAGACACATTCAGCAGAAGCTGAACCGATCAAAAACACAGCAGGTGCGCCAGTGGAGAAGTGCTGGGACAGTGAGTGTTGCCCAGTGATGTAGCTCCATTTGCTTTCTGTCACGTCAACCCAAAGAATTGTGGGAATTGTATCTTAAATAAAACCATGAGCCAGAAGGACAGTCAGCTAGAGTATATACTCTCTGAGAACAAACTGTTATCTGAGGGGGCTGTTAACTTACAATGGTTCTACATTATATTAACTTGAGACAGCTTTCTCCCTCTGCTGTAAAACATAATGATGATCAATACTTGATAAAATAATTCATTTAGCTCTACTGGATTTTTCCATTTAGAGAGCAGAAATCTGCACTGAGTTCAAAAAGTTGGCAAAAGCCCAAACGAGAAATTTAGGTCTGCAGTTAGCGCTGCAGTTATTTAGGGGACTAGCGCCCACCACTGCCAGGACAACTGACATCCAGGAAGAACAAAGAGCAGAAAACGTAAAGTTTACCTCAAGAAATCTGTCTATGGCAGGGACAGGATACAGCATGATGAAGAGGAGGAAAGAATACAGCCCAGCGCAGGACACCATGAACGGCCCTTAAAAAAAAGATTTGGATAAAAGGGAATAGTTTGGACATTTATAAGTATGATTCTGCAAAAACAAAACAAAAAAAAAAAACACACAGTTACAAACAATTACTATCTTGCCTGTTGTAGATATATTTTTGACCTCAGTTTGAAGAAAAGGTTTAGGTCTGACAGCACTGAGCTAACGGCTAGTCTGAACACAGCTTAAAACAACTCCAACCTTCAAAAGTTTCATAAACACTTAAATCAGTTTCATGTTACAAACTACAAACAGGTTTACAGACTGGAGAGGATACATACATTTATAT